TCTTCTTCTTCTTCTTCTTCTTCTTCTTCTTCTTCTCCTTCTTATCCTTCTTCTTCTCCTTCTTCTCCTTCTTCTTCTTCTTCTTCTTTTTCTTCTTCTTCTTCTCCTCCTGCTCCTTCCCCTTCTCCTTCTTTTTAGTGAAAGCGAGAGCTGATTTACTAGCACAACCGCTTCCCATTCTTGCTTACACAAATGAGACTCAGTTCTCATCGCAAGACTAATGCTGTGGATCAGGAAGTTTTTTACCTTTATAATTGGAAGAAGCATAATTAGGAGTCAGTAGACTGGCTCTGGACTGAGGTTGGCCACCAACTAGCTGTGTGGCCTTAGGAAAGTGGCTAGCCCTCTCTGAGCCTCAATTTTCTCAACTCTAAAATGAGCAGGCTAAAGGAGATAACCTCTACAGTCCATTTCAACTCTGCTATCCTGTTATTCTAATATTCTACTAGCCACAGATGGATTTTTTTTAAAAGCTTAGCCCAATATCTTTCAGGATCTAAAAGGTTAATTTGGCTGCTGTCTACAATACAGTCACTTAATTTCATAGAGGGAAGGAGCCTTAAAGAACGTTTCCAAACTGTGCCCCCTGGAGCCTCAGCAGCCATTGATGGCCAGCAAGGGTGGGACCAAGGAAGGACAGACACCCTGTGTCAACAGCAGAGTGTATACAGTGGACAAACAGGGGTCGAATCCCAGTTCGGCCATTTCCAAGCTGTGTGTGCCTCTGTTTTCCCATCTGTAAACAGGCACACTAGCCGTTCTTGCCTTGTAAGGTATTTGAGCAGGTGAAGCTTAGCCTAGGGTCTGACGCACGCATGTGCTCCATGAATGTTGCTCTGTAATTTCAGTGTCACCTCTTCTTAAACTTATTTTTCTATGAGGCTTCAGCATGGGGTTTCATTCAGAGAAAGCAGTCTCTGACTTTAAAAAAGGGGCGGGCTTTATAAACCCCTCAAACCCCTTCATCCTACAGATGACGATGAGAAAAACTACACAGAGATCTGTCCGAAGGCAGAACAGGGGTCAGATCTATAGAACATCTCAAATGATTTCCATCCCTGGAACAAAAATGGTTCTTTTCACAACATTTCTGTTAACCACACACAGGGCTGGAGTCTGACTGCCTGGGTTTGGGGTCCCTGCATCAGCGCTGTGTGGTCAGGGTCACGTGCTCAAGCTGCTCTTTCTTTGCAGAGAGAGTAGCAGAGAACGGCTTCTCACAGGGCTGATGGGGACACTGACATGGAGGTCAGTGTTAAGACATTTGGGGCAGAGGCCGACACAGGTGGCCCTGGGCAGATTTTAGCTCGGCTTATGGCTCATCACTTGGTCCTGAGAGAGGCACTGTTGGTGGCTGAACTGAGACCCCTCTTTTTGTCCTCCTGCCGCAGTTCAACAGCTTCGAGCAGCTGTGCATCAACTTCACCAACGAGAAGCTGCAGCAATTCTTTAACCACCACATGTTCGTGCTGGAGCAGGAGGAGTACAAGAGAGAGGGCATCGAGTGGGTCTTCATAGACTTTGGCCTTGACCTGCAGGCCTGCATCGACCTCCTAGAAAAGGTAACCTGTTTCTCAAACGAGGGTCTTGGAGAGAGGTAGGGGCTCTGACAAGGGCACACCTCAGGAGGGGATTTCACTGGGGTCTGCAGGGAGGCAGCACCTGGATTCGGGGCCTCAGAAACACTGCTGATGACCTTGATTGTTCTGACCTTTAGCTTCTTCTCTGCAAAATGGTTACAACAGTGATTGCAGTGACCACGGTTGGTTGGGCTATTGTATGCCCAACCATCACAAGCTACCATACACAGGGTGTAATTTATTATAACCACTCCACTGATGGAGACATTGAGGCTCAGTGAAGGGAAATCCCTTGTCCAAGGTCATATAACCTATGAGTGACAGTCAGGCTCTAACCCAGGCAACTAATAATCTCCCCTACAATCACACTATAGGGATGTTTTAGTTCAAGAATAGATATTTGTTTGATTAAATGCAGAAAAAGAACAGAAAGAGGACATTAACAGGACAGATGGCCAAATGTGAACAAAATCTGGTCATATAATATATCAATGTTAATTTTCTGGTTTTCAATATTGTACAGAGGTTACATTAACATTTGGAGAAGTAAGATCAAGGGTATTTAGGAATGCTTTGCATTATTTTTGCAAGCCTGAAATTATAGCAAAGTGAAAAGTTAAAAAATAAAAAGAAAGAACATATCTTGTCTCTGAGGCTCATCCTTGGGTCTGTCATAGATAATTTATCACCCAGATAGCCAGGGATCTCCGATGTGGCCCCAGTATTAACCCACCAGGAAAACAGAACCTCTAAAATTAGGCTGCAGGTGTGATCTGCCCATCCCCCAACACCTACAGATACCTCCCCGTTCAGCAGTCACAGAGCCTGGAATAGCCTCATGTTTGGGCTTTAGGGTTAAGCACTGCTCTCTTCCAAAAGCCTTCTTTGAAAATCCAAACCCTGCATGGATGGGGGAATATTAAGTCACTAACAGCATGTATGAGCTCCCCTTTTTTTGTATGAGAATAGACCTAGAACAACATGAGGCCCTTGGGTACCCAGGAATGTCATTGAGGAAGAGGAGCAGATGAAAGAAAATTAAACGCAGAGAGGTCGGGCATCATTGTTTTCACCGTTTTTCTGAGGGCCAAGCTTGCCTGGTGCCACTGTTGGGGTGGGATTAACATTTGGGGAGCTAGCCCCCCCCTTCAGATTTCAGTCTTCCCTTCTGTTGGACTTGCTGAATTCTAGCCTCTTTCAGATCTAAAGGGCCAGGGCATTCAAAGACCAGACCATGCAGCACCAGGCACCATACCCAGAGTTCTGCTTCCTGGCCGGCCACGTGGGTGGGTGTGGCACCCCTCCTGCCAACCCCAGGCCAATACCAGAGTGTCCCCTTTGGCATCCTGTGGCCTCCTTTAACGCCCTCTGCTCTTCTTTTATAGCCCATGGGTATCTTCTCCATCTTGGAGGAACAGTGTGTCTTCCCCAAGGCCACTGATGCCACGTTCAAGGCGGCTCTGTATGACAACCACCTGGGCAAGTCCAGCAACTTCCTCAAACCCAAGGGAGGAGGCAAGGGCAAGGTGCCCGAGGCCCACTTTGAGCTCATCCACTATGCAGGCACTGTGAGTACCACCTTGGCACCCTCCGTGGCCACCTGCTGGCCACTGTTCCCTCCTGCTATTACAGGTCCATCCTGACACACCCTTCCTGAGGTTTCCTGCCTCCAACTAGTACAGCCATGATATTACAGGGTGATCAGCCCATTGAAATGAACTCTGGCTCTTATCTTCTCATCACTTCTCCATCTGAGAATTCAAGAGCAATCCATCCAAAGATGCCTCCTAGGAGTCGACCAGCAGTTTGTACCCTCAGACCTGCCAGGGCCACACCGTTGTCTACAGCCCTCATTTTCACAGCTGAACCTCGATCTTGGTCAGAAAAGACAACACTTACAAAAACAAAAACAAATTTCATGAGCTTATTCATTATTCCTCAAATGATTAACTCATCTGTCTGACAGCCTATGGCTGCCAAACCAACAAGGAGACATCTACAGTGGCTTCTTCACTCATGACAAACTCAGTCCTTGAGGAAGGGGGAAATTAAGTGCAGCCAGGACTCAGATGCTATTTGAATAATTGATAGTGGAGACAACATATGCCCAGCAAGCTTATGTGTTTGGCTTCCTTGGGATGTCAGTATTGCTATAAATGTCAATGTTCCTGTTACCATTAGAGTTTGTTGAGCCTCCGTGGGTTTAACTGCAAGGAAACAGCAGCCTTAGGACAGAGCTGTCAGGAAAGTGGCTGTTGGGTCTGGGCTTCAGGACCAAGATTTTATGATCTCATCAACTGTAACAATGCCAATCACTCGCAGAATGGATTGTGCCGATACCTAGAACAAACAGCAGGCTTGAAGCCAAATTGCAGGGCTCCACCTCCCCTCCCCTACTGACATGAGAAGAGCTCTATATTTATAACAATGGAATAATCAAAGTTAAATAGGAGCCATGCACTTCCAAGAAGGCTCTAAGATAAGGCCCAGAGATGATAAACATCTATGCACTATATAGGAGATGGAAAATCCAAAGGTTTGGGCATCTCATCTGATCCCTCGATTCTCTGTGCTCAATGGAAGGATCTGAAAGTCTCCTTGCTCTTTACCTTTCCTGCTGGGGCCACATGGCACAGTGAGAAACAGAAATCCATGGATACATGGTGCTTCCACCAATTACCTGGATGCATGGAGCCCCTAGTTCTGGATGGATAGAACACCCCCTTCCGCCAGACAATGCCCCAGGGGATGTGTGCTCCTTAGCAAGGAGAGACAAGATGTCCTTGTAGGGAGTTCTTCATGTAGCTCAGGAGTCCCCTGGTCCAGGCCAGTCCCTGACAGAAAAGGCGGAGTCTAGAAGAGCAGCCCACCTGAGTAGAAGAAAACCCAGGGGTCAGGGAGGCTCAGTATAGCCAGCAATGCAAGACATGCAAGAGAAAGTCACAGCTGGCAGAGAGTAGCTGGGGAGTACTGGTTTGTGGGAAAAGCTGAGAGATGGGTGTCCTAGACAGGAAAACTGCAAATGCCCAAGAAAACCGATGATATGGCTTCCACCTGGGAAAACCCTAGGATCAGGGACATCGCAGGACTTCAGGCAAGTCATCAGGACAAGAATGGAAGGACAAGGAGATGGGAGATTGGTCCTGGGCCAAGAGCAGTTAGAACTGTAGGTAGAGGTTCTAGCTGTGGTACCTGAGAGAGGGAGGCTGGGTCTGAAACATAACCACTGGCATTTGCTCCTCTTCAGGTGGGTTACAACATCACAGGCTGGCTGGAGAAGAACAAAGATCCCCTGAATGAAACAGTGGTGGGCTTGTTCCAGAAATCTACCCTAGGGATCCTCGCCCTTCTCTTCAAAGAAGAGGAGGCTCCAGGTATGGCTGACCGTTTGTTGTGTCCAGTCTCCCTGTGCTAATGCTCTTTAGTGGTCAAAATGGAAAGAAAGAAACAAAGCTTTTTTATTCAACTCTTGTTGAAGGAATGAATGAATTATGAATGAATGAATGAATGAATGCCATGATGTGAAATGACATGACATGTTGTTTGAGGTAGGTCATGGAACATACTGTGATAGAGGGTTATAGATACATCCTGGGAGCTTCCATCAACTGAATTGATCACTGGGCCCTTATCATCTCTAGCTGGAACAATACTTTGTGCTTATTTTATGCTTCCTGCCCTCCTCTGTCTGAGGCAAATGCCAAGCCTAGCCTTGCCCCACACCCAGCCAAGGTCATATGGCCTGTAGGGGAACACCCTAGGCAGGAGCCGCCCAATGGGGCTACCTACCACTCAGCACAGCAAGAATTGTGAATCTCTTTTGGCTCAGAGACATTTTCACAACCAACATGCAATTCCACCAGATGAACTGAGGGCTCTTTCTCCTTTCCAGCAATGAGGGCAGTTTGTCACCTTGTGTCAGCCCTGAATCAGAGGGCTATATACTCTTCGGGGAGCACAGCACTCCTTTTGGCAATTAGGCCACAGTCAGCCCATTCACCCACTGGCAGATCTCATTTTCCTGGTGGGAGGGCCCCACCTCAACTAGCCCCCTCAAAAGCCTTTGTAAAACCAGAGAATGCATGTCCTTGAGACAGAGCACTTGATGGGGCTGCCTACCGCCCATGCTGGGTGCTGATATGAAACATGCTTGTCTCTCCTTCAGCTGGAGGCAAGAAGCAGAAGAGAGGCTCCTCCTTCATGACGGTCTCCAACTTCTACAGGGTGAGTAGGGGCTGCCCCAGAGGCCAGCTTGCGTCCAACCTTCCCTTTCAGTGGTATGCTGATCAGGCTGCCACCTCACAGGCAAGGATGGGATGATTTCATTTCTATGCCTATGGTTGCCTCTTTCATTTGAGGAGACTGTTTCCTTTTGACGGGGTCACAGAACCACAGGGCCCCAGGGCAGAAAAGACCCTTAGAGATGGTCGAGTCCAACTGTGTTGTCTTAGACTGAAACCTAGAGAGTGATAGGACTTACCCAACATGACAAATGGAGATACCAATGCCTATGATCTTGTGCTCTAGAGTTGGGTGACAGGTCTGGGCTGGTCACAACATCCACAAAGTCTGGGCATTACTAGACACATGTCCTGAAGTACAGAAGTACAGCCAATGGAGAGATGTTGCATGAAGAAAGATTTCAATACTTCTCAAGGATCCAGCTGTCGTAAAGCAGAATGGGTCACCTCACTGGAAGCATCCAAGCAGAGGAGGAGGGATGTCCGGCAGAGACGTTATCAACGGGCAGTGGTTTGTCCATGCAGGCACTATGGTTCTTTCTAGTACCAAGATACAAATACCCAGCACTGAATCAGAAGGGACCCTGCTTCTTGTAAGCCGTGTCATCTTGGGCAAGTCACTGGACCTCCAAAAGCAATGCTATCCAACAGAATTTTACTCAATGACAGAAATGTTCTCTTCCTTCCAATGTGGCAGCCACTGTCCAATATGGTAGCCACTAGCCATATGTGGCTAGTAAGTACTTGAAAAGTGACTGGTGTAACTAAAGAACTGAATTTTAATTCATATTTAATTAATTAAACTCTAAATAAATACCTCTCCTGAGCGTGGATGTCCTGCAATACCAACATCAAGCTTTATTCACTCCTTCTTTTTCTTTTTCCTCCATCCCCAGGAGCAGTTGAACAAGCTGATGACCACCCTCCACAGCACCGCCCCCCATTTTGTCCGCTGTATTGTCCCCAATGAGTTCAAGCAATCAGGTACATCATGGGGCCATGTCTCCCTCCTGGAAGTCCTCAGGACCTATGAAGTTGGTATTTGATCCAAATTAAGTTCACTTTCAATCACAAGGAATGATTGGGGCAAAACAGGACATGAAAGAATCCCCAACAATGGATCATCCTAAATTTGTGTTTTAGCTGCTTTGCATAGCACAGTAGTGCCTACCCAGCCAGAAGTCACACTCAGGACAGTCTTTGGGTCTTGACTTGAATTGTGGGAGACTGGGGACCCCTGAGCAGTGATGGGAGGAGACTGGGGTGATGATGTGGATGGACAGTTCAGCCTCCTTGAGTGGCAAGGAGTGGCATGCTCCACCATAGGGTAGTGACTCCCCATCCTGTGCCATCTCTCTTGGCAGGTGTGGTGGATGCCCACCTGATCATGCACCAGCTGGCTTGCAACGGAGTCCTGGAAGGCATTCGTATTTGCAGGAAGGGCTTCCCAAACAGGCTGCAATACCCAGAGTTTAAACAGAGGTGAGTGGTGTCTTCCTGATACCTCGAATAAAGTTCTCAGTTTCCAGGGATTGACTACTGATAAATATAGCCCCATTGTAGAGACACTATGGGTGTGATGATGGATACCGCTTCACTGTCACTACTTCAGTACTCATTGGCCCAACTTCCAACTGCCAGCACCTGCATTTCTTTGCCTGAGGGCTTTCTCTGGCTGCTGGAGCCTGCTTTGCTATTTGACAGGCTGAAAAGTATCAGAAATTAATGCCTCCCTAGGAGCAGGCCTCAATCAATGACTGAGAACAGTTGGCATGTAAATACTTCAGCTCTCTCACCTTTCTGGTGGGCTAACTCTGAAATGTGTTCCATACTGCCTCTCAGACAGCAGTATGCTAGTAAATGTTTAACAACGGGTTCTCCAGTTTAAAAAAGAAAAAAAACCAAAAAGCCCTGATTTGTAGTGTCTGCCTATTTCCTTGGTGTAAATACTCCCACCATGGCTGATTTCAAACCACCAATGTGGCATCACTGAATGTGGAGCTGGAAAGATATGCACACAATTGCCTTTTGCGAGCCAGTGGGAGCACACCACTGCTCCCAGGCGGCCCTATCAGGATTAAGACCCAGTTGCCTGTTGTGATAACTGGCTTAATAACATGCCTTTTATTGGCTTCCTGCCCCACTTCCCAATTCTGCCACCTCCCAAATAAGCTACTTGCACTTGAATCCTAGTCTCAGGGTTTGCTTCTGGAAGAACCCAAACTAAGGCCCCCACCTTAGGGATTAGTTTACTTCTACCCACTCCCGACCTGCTAGAACATGTGACCACAGATTGATGGAATAGGAAAAGTCACCTGAGGTTATCTTGTCCCAGCCATCTGAAGTCCCTAATTGGGGAAGGGCTTGTCCAAGATCACAAATGGGGCTGCTGGCAGGCCAGGAAAAGAAGTAGTTCTCCTATGCCTGGCAGAAAAGATCAGGAGGATCAAACTCAAGAAAGATTTTGGTGTCTTCGTTTCTAAAAACATCTGCCCCCTGAACCCCACACCTATACCAACATCTACTCCCCAAAGTCTCCTGTCAGTCCCATCTCTCTTCCTGCTGTGGCATCTGTAAAACAAGTCTATTCCCTGGCTGGAGGGCCATGTCAAAGGTCAAGGGATAATTGCGTGGACATGTTTCCATGCTGCCAGCTTGGGGATGATGCTACCTGTTGTCATCCCTCTCCCAACAGGTATCAAGTGCTGAACCCCAACGTGATTCCTCAGGGGTTCGTAGACAACAAGAAGGCCTCAGAGCTGCTGCTTGGGTCCATTGGCCTGGATGTAAATGAATACAAAATCGGACATACCAAGGTAGGGTCTTCCAGTGGGTACTCCCTCCCTATACCACTCAGCCTTGTCTTAAGAAGGTGGGCTTCAGGGTGGGAATTCCAACTCTGCCGTTGGCCAGTTGCCCACCTTGGGCAAGCCCCTCAGTCAATGAGAGCCTCAGTTTCCTACTCCGAAAAATCAAGGGTCATAAGGCCAGTTTCATGGAATTTGGGGGTGATTAGCAGTAACATACAAGAGATCCAGCTCAGATTGGTACTCAATAAATGATGGAATATTTCTTAGGATTGTATGAACCCCAAATTTCTAAGAATAAAAGGAGACAATCAAAATCAAGATTCTGGATTTGACCAGGGCACGGCAGTACATGTGTGATTAGGGTCTTCAGGTTAAGCACCACAAGCCCAGCCCACCTAGACCAAGAACCCCAGTCCTGAGCTGGCAGGTTGACTCAAACGGAACGGGCACCTGATCCTGACCCATGGGGTCTGGGCTGTCTTTTGTCTGCCCCACTTCCTAACCCCAGAGTCCTGTCCAGATTATAAGGGCCAACCAGGCTGACAGTGCAAAGAGTCCATCTGTAGCTACCAGCCAAACTGCACCTCAACATGACAGCCAGGGTGACATGGGAAGAACACTAGCTTTGCAGTCAGGAGTGTCAGGCTCAAAGCCTGCCTCTGTGTAGCCGAAAGCAAGTCACTCACCTCTCCAGGTCTCATGGGTGGCACAGGCCCCCCATGCAGCTCCTCCACAGGCCTGGTGTGGTCTGAGGCAGGTGGCAGCTCCAGTGGGCTTGTGCATCCAAAGAGTCTGGTCACTTGACAGATGCTCACAGAATGCCTCTTCTGTGCTCGGCATTGTTCTCAGCTCAACGGTCACACCTATGAACAGAACAGGAGCGCCTAACTCCCTGGAGCTTGCTTTGTAGCAGTGGGTATTAGCAGAACAGTAACACTGCTCCAGAACCTGCTTTGGCTTCCTTCACAATTAATATGTCACAATTAATAAATGGGTGTAGCTAAATTGATTTATAGGAACACTTCAGGTTTTGTCACAGAATCACTGAATACTTGAGCTGGAGAGAACCTCAGAGGCTAGCTCCTTCCTCCATCCCACCTTTGACAGATGGAAACTTACGAAAGCCCAGAGGAGGGGTGGAGGTGACACGCCCAATTTCATAGAACTAGGTGGGTCAGAGCAGGCCTTGGGTCCTATGACTGCTGGTAATACGGCCTGGGAAAACAGGCCTAACATCACCAGCGTGACACAGCCTGACACAGCCACAGCCTGGGCAGAGTACATCTTGCTATTATCAAGGGTTTCATTGGTCACCTCAGGTCTAGGGAAAGGCCCAGGGCTGCTGGGGATAGCTCTGCTCCCTGAAGACCAGACAGGCTCTGGTGGCTGGGGTAGAACAGAGAACAGGGTGATTCTGCCTATAAACTAAGTCCTTATCCCCGGTGTTGGTTCATGCGGGCCCCACCCCACCCAGCCACATGTTTGCCTCCACTAACCCTCAAAGACCAAATCTCAACACCAATTATTTTGAAATATTAGATATTTTACTGCCTGATGGCTAGCTCCCTGGGTTTTTTTGTTTGGTTGATTGGGGGGGGGGGCGGAGCAAGGAGAGGGAGTGTTCTTTTTCATTCTTTTCCTGTCAGTATCTATAGCATCCACATAAAGAATTTTGGGGGGCTGTACTCCCTGCCCCCGTGTGTAGCAGACTCGTAGAGCTGGGAGGACTCAGTCTCCTGCACTGTCACTGGACAGGAGGAAAGACCAAGGTTCCCCAAAGGAGAGTGACTTGACCAAGGTCACATGGAAATACAAGGCAGGCTGAGGAGAGGTGCAAGTCTCCTGGCTCCTTCTATCCTTCTAGAAGTTTCAGTCATGTTCTAATAGAAGCC